CTTATGTCTAGCCTTCTCTCTGTCTCTCTCCTTCTGACGACGAGCTCTTTGCCTGACCATCTCGTCTCGATTGCGCTGCTTATTCTCTTTCAACTCATTGTCATAATTTCCAATTTCAAGCTCGCGCAGTTTGCCTTTGGAGTGAGTGAGATCAAAACTTTTTCCAATGGCCAGAAGCTTTTCCCGACGATCATCCCGATACTCGCGAATGATCTGATCTGGGGTTCTCTTGTTATCGACGCGTTCCGCAGTGATCTTTAGAAGAAGCTCGTAAGTGCCAGGCTCAAGATCAATTTCAGCATTGCATGACCGCATATTTCCAGACTGCTGCATTGAACGCAGCAGGTAAATATTCTCGCCTTTCTTGTACAGTCTGAAATGTAGGCTATACTTGTAGCGACCAGTCAAGCCCTTGAAATATCGCGTATCTGGTTGCGACAGGACTAAAACGACAGGCCCGGCCTTGGTAACAGTCACCTCAAAGCCAGTGTCAAGATAATCCGTGGTCCAGGGCACATTGACTGAAGTCCATTGCTGCGTTACAGTCCATTCCGGGCCAATAAGGCGAATTCTGTCGATAACAGGATAGTACTTCAAGAAATCCTGATAGGAAATAAAGAATGTTCCATCGTCGCCCATCGTATGATTCAGCTCTTTCAAGACATCTGGCGTCCATTCTTTGCTTCCATCACTCCAAGCTCCGTTCCATTCTTGGTTGCCCCAAGGATTGTGAAGCTTTAGAAGTCTGATCTTGCCATCTTTGGTTATCTCCTTCTTCCTCTTCTCTTGCTCTTCCTTCAATTTCTTTTTGGAAAGCTTCCTGCCTTCGAGGGGCGGTGCATCAATCTCGCGGGCTTCTAGAACTGTATATGCATGACCTCTCACGAAACCCTCGTCATCAGCCGAATCACTATCACGACCTTTCCGAGTTCCACATCCGAAGAGAAACTTGTCATTGACTTGCATCAATTCGCCCCAGAGTTGGGCCTTGTCCAAGACATTCTCTGAGCGAACATAGCTTGCAACACCGCCAGTCAGATCTTCGATTCCTTCACTACACAGTGTGAGTTGAAATAACAGGTCGAGACTGACTTGACTTACCCAGTGACTCCGCCATCAATTGATTGATAGTCGCCGTGCGCTTTCGCGTATGCTTTCTCGATCAATGGTAGCCAGGTCTCATTCGACTCTCGACAACTGCCAAAGTACAGCGCATTACTTCCTCGACGTAGAGTTTGCGAAAAGTCCTTGGGCAGCACTTGGACGACATGCCCCATTTCTTGCAAAGAATGTGTAAGAGCATTCTTATCACCTCGAGTGATAACCAAAAAGTCTGTAGGATGTTGTTGCTGGTCGTCGGAATATCGAAGAGCAAGTCTATCATCCACAACCTCCGATATCCATTCACCATCTATATCATTAGTTGACGCTCCTTAAAACTGCTTGTATGCTCTTACCGCGGAAGAAAACAAATCCATACACTCCAACCTTTTCATCTCTGGCGACACAGAGCTTTTCGATCAGCTCTGGCTTTCCACTCAGTGCTGTGATTGCTGCTAGAAACCAACAGTCTCCGACATTGCCTTGTCGAATGTCGTTGGCGCTAGGCCCATCTTCGAAGAATTCCGGCTCGTCAAATATATCCTATAAAAATAAGCCCATGCTCCTGTGACTTTCAATAATCCTTACCTCGACTCTCTTGACCGCTCCAACTCCCACCACATCCTTCACAGATGAAGGTTGCTCATCAGCGCCCAGGGATACAAGTGTGTCCCATTCGGGCAAACAAAACATCCTGTCATGATATTTCTGGTTGAGTCGTTTGCACTCGCGTACGATCGCTTCGACTTTGGCTTTGCAGGAATCCGCAGCCTCTTTATACGATGTCCATGCCTTTTGACTATCAACGTTTTAGTAAACGTAAAGCTAAAGAGCAATAGCAAAATATATATACCTGCTCTCAACACCTTCTTCGTTGATATTCACAGCATGACCTGGCTGACCCTCAATATCCGTATCCAAGCTTGGTACCGGCCTAACAACCTTATTTTTGTCCTTAAATTTGCCAGCTCTCCCCTCTCCAACCTCCTCCTTCTTGCTGCGCTGCTTTTGCAACGTGAAGCGATCCCATGCTCGATAGAACTGATCGTTTTTATACCGTCGGCGACTGATTATAGATCCTGGAGGTGGTGGAGGGGGTGGGCCGAGTTTATTCAATCTATGGCGTGGTTCATGGATTGGAGATGGGGGAAGTGGAATAGGGAGCGGCGGTGGCGGATGGGGATAGTCCGTGATAAGTCGTATAGTAATAGGCGCAGGGATGGGATACATCGGTTTGGGAGGTGGTGGTGGTAAGGGATCTCTTCGAGGGGGCATGTTCTCTAGTACTTCCTCCACGATGGAAGTCCTCGACAGCAGTATTGATACAGCGGGAGAAGAATAAGGTCTCGAAATCACAATGAAATGTGGTCGGAGTCAACCAAAAGAAGAGCTCCTTCAAACGAAGCGTAGTACTCGCAATTGCAATATAATCGCGTGGAAAAAATGGTGTTGAGTTTCAACTTTCAACATGAAGATCACCAAAAACAAAATCGTGAACAGAGGAGCATAGAAGCGGCCTCAGTGGTATGGATGAACGGAAGATGCAGTCAGACCATTCGCGACTTGAATACGGACAGCAGATATCGGTCTACTCCAAGACTCAAGCCAAGCTCGCATTGCCTGGAAATCCAGCCAGCAACATCAGGCTGTGCTTCAAAGCGGCTGAGAACTGCACTCCCATGCGAGAGTACACATCGCGCGACCACAAAATCTAGGCCACAGAGTCCAAGCCTGGCGAATAAAGGCCAAGATCGGGGGCGCCTTGAGCGGGGCAGCGAATTGAATTGGTGGCGTCTGACCTGCAGGTAGGTCTTTTGGCATATTTTCGTGCCTTTGACCGGTCTGATAACTCTTGTCCGTGGAATATCAAGGTTTGGCGCTGATAAAAGATTCATATTTCGATCCGCGTTAGCAAAACTTGCTCCCAGAACTTGATTTGTTTGCGCTTGCTCTCAGGAGATATGCTAGACTGAACGTTAAATGCCTCACGTTGAACTTGTATATAGTCGGACACAATTATGTGGCGTAACTATTTTTGGAAAGTTAGAGAAAACACGAACTAAGTTTATCTGTCTGCGCTCTTGGCTAAGAGGGGATTAAAACTTAGTCTCATATCGCCTATAGAAAAGATTGGCGGACAGAGATCTGAAACAGTGTAAAACCTCTATTGGTAACTTCACAGCTTCATCTGTCCATGTTTCTACAAGAGCATACCAGGGATATCAGCAACGCACGATCTGGAGCTTTGAGTAATTCAAAAAGCCAAGGTATCTGGCTCAACTGGATGTCCTATCATTTCGAAAAGGTCAAACTGCTGTAATACAGTATAGGCCTTGACCATTGAAGCTCAAATATTCTGATTGAGCGTCATTATTCTATGTCTCCCATCTCGTCCTTTGTGGAGAAACATACTCTCTGGCTCCCTCAGTGCACAGAAGCACAACAGTAGCATCTGGTCCAAGTTGCTCTTTTAACAAGCCGTCCTTGACGAGTCGATACAAGGCCGCAAGACTCGCAGCACCGCAAGGACCAGCAGCGATACCATAAGAGCGAAGTTTCTTTACAGATTCGTCTGCTTCGACATCGGAAATGATCATGCTAGCGTCGACTCCTGCTTCCAGAATCTCCCATGCCGTGAGTGATACAGTTCCGCAATTCATACCGTCCATGATTGTCTGCGAAGTCTCCACACACACGGTCTTTCCTTCCTTGAGACTTTCATGGAGACAAGGAGAACTCTCTGGTTCTACCGTTATTACTGAAGTTTGTAACGAAGCCTTGGACTTGTAGTGTGAGACGACAGCTTGGGCGAGAGATCCAACTCCGACAGGTGTAATAATCATGCTTGCGGTCAAATGTTGCTCATTTAGCTGTTCGTCAATTTCGCGTAGCATAGTTGAATATCCCTCGACAATCCACGATGGGATTTGTTCATAACCTTCAAAAGCGGTGTCCTGAATAAGTAGATTCCTTGGATCTTTCTGAGCTGCTTCATAAGCGATATGCACCGCCGCGTCATATGATCCTTTGACTGCAGTGACTGTGGCCCCTTCGCCGGCAATGATGGCTTTGGTTGCATCATCCGTGAACTGTGGGACGAATACTTCAGCATCGATGCCGAGTATCTTCGCCATACGGGCCAGTGCACGTCCGTGATTGCCATCGGTAGCCGTAACCAACTTGATGGACCGTTTGACCGCTTCTTGAGATAAGTGCTCCAGTGATGAGTTCAGAGGAAGGCCGGCTTTGTCAGCAATGGCACGAAAGGTTCCCCAGGAAGCGCCTAGTATCTTAAAGGACGGTAGGCCAAGACGATCGCCCTCATATTTTACAAGTACATTCTTTACACCAAGGTCTTGAGTGACCTGATCCAATTTCAAAAGAGGGGTTGTCGTGTATAGCGGAAGGCTTTGGTGGTATGATCGTATGACTCCTGGGTCTTTAGGGGCCAGAAAGAGTTTCCCGACCCGTTTCGGAGATGTATTGATATACATTTCAAATTGTGACTTTGAATCGAGCCATAGTATTGTTGCTGGTATAACTTGAGCATAGACAGGTAGGTAGAAACGAGGAGGTGTTGGTTGCTCTGACAGTCAATAAAGTTTTAAGTGGAGCCTGGCCCACGCCATTTTCAGTCCAAGCTGATGTTGGAGTGTCAGTCAAGAAGAAAAATAAACATATAGGGATGAAAACGAGATTTACTAAAATAAACAATACGGCAAAGTAACAGGAGAAGCATTCAGAGCTGAGAAAGCGTGACGGGAGAATTGTAAGGATGCTCTTTGCATACGCTTGTATATATACAAAAAAAAGGCAATTCTTCGATGATTATTCGCAAGAACCTTGAGAAAGGAACATGTAAATCTTTGCCATATTATACATGTGGACTAACCGAAAACGGACTGTTGGCGCAATGGTAGCGCGTTGGTTTTCGGCACCAAAGGTTGCGCGTTCGAGCCGCGTGCAGTCCTTGACGAATCTTTTTTTTTTACATTTGGAAGAAGTACTGCTTTCTGGACTATCTTCACAGTGCAGGCAGTATATTTTTTTGCTACTGTCTATCGCTCACAACTCGATCTCTAAGGATTAAGTGTGAATGATACTTCCTAACTTGCAAGGGGTAGACAAAATACCTACATGGCGCGCTCTCAGCGAATGCGCTGTCTACCACCGCACCTTTAAAACATCAGATTCTCTTAATCCCATCGAATTCGATATTCAGAGCTTTTTTTTCGCCTTAGAAAGGAAACGAAGTAGTTTCATCGGAATGTAGTGGATAGGAGCCAACGAAGGTAATGGAGCGCGCCATTTATTTTGTCCTCCGGTTGACTTGGTACGCTTGACATGGCTGCTCCTCGAGCATTATTCTATTCGTATCAATGCATCTTGACAGAGCTATTGACCAGATATTTTGGTACATTGGATTTGCCATCCAATATCTGCTGTCGCTAAGTTCTCAAACTTTTGCTAATACAAATCAAGCTCTACCTCAAGCCAAACTCAAGCTCTTCAGCTCATCAGGCTGAACTACTCTATCTTAGTGATGCAATATTTCTCACTTACGCGGTATACTAAGATCCGTCGTATACCGCCGTTATTTATAGTATACCAATCCGCGGCCGTATACAGCATATAATTGGTGTAATAAGAAGACACGTATTTGTATAAGAAACTTAATTGCTAAATAGGGATTAGCGTACCTTTAAATTAGATCTTTTCACAACATCTTAACGTAAGGGGATAGGATCCTAGCAGGCATAGTAACTAGCAGCCCTACTACCTTAAAATTAAATAGATCTAGATAACTTCAAACTACTATAAATTAATTAAATAATGCTTAAATTTAATAATTTAAAATAAAAAACTCTTTAGCTAATATAGCTAATGCCGTAGATTAATTTAAAAATAGAGAATTTACTTTAGTTACTACTTACTTATAGATTACTAGAATTCCTCGTAGAACGATTTAGAATAGACTAAATAGGGTATTACCTTAAAAACTAGCCTATAGATCTTAGTAGAAAATACCTCCTAATATAGAGAATTATCTTATAGACTAGATACTAGCAAAAGATCGTACTAGATACTTACCTACTTATATATATATCTATATTTTTACTTAAGAAATACTTAAATCTACTAGCCTACTATTTAATCTTAGAGAGAAGTAGTATTAATACTTTATTAATAAATATAATGAAGTTAAATTAGTTTTATTACGTAAGATTAATTTAGATTATATTAATAGATATAATTTAGCTATAATAAATAAGTTTTTTAATTACCTAGAAGTAATTTAAAAGGAATATTATATTATACTAATAAATAAGTATAATATAAATGAATCTAGCCTCTAAATAAGCAATACTAGTAACGAATAAGTTATTATAATATCTAAATCTACTATAAAGTAAGTAGTAGTTAAAATACCTACTAGAGTTAAATAAAACACTACTCTAAAAATAATTTCTACCCTTAGGGCTTACCTTAATCTACTAGTTATCTTTATAAGCAAATCTATATAGAGTACCTAGATTCTGAATTAATTTAATACTAAGGATTATAAAAATTAGCAATTTACATATTCTTAAAATAATTAGACTTCTAACGACATAGGCGTTTACTAGCTTTAGGAATACTTTATACTATAAACTAAACCTTCTTATCGTAAGATATAGCGTCTTTTAATCCTTAATAATTATAAATTACATTATTTTTTTTGCTTTATACGTATTTGCTTTAAAAATTAGATTATTTTACTATATATTCTACTATATACTTCCTATATTTTATAGCCGCTAGATCTTAGTATATTTAGACCTATTAAGACATTATATTATTATAAACTTAGTAAGTTTACTAGAATATTTAATAAAGCTTTAATTCCTAAAGCTAGATTTATTAAAATATATTATAAAATCTATCCTAAGGCTATTATAAAAGCTAACGCTTTATCTAGCTTTAAAAAGGTAAGAATTTAGCCTTTAAATTACGAAAAACCACTCTTATCTTACTTTGTTAAGGAATCTAGACTAATAGAGATAATTACTACCTAAATTACTATTAGAGGACTTTTTGTTTCCTAGATTCTAAAGCTAATTAAGCAATTAGCGAGTAATTATAATTATAGGAAGTAGATCCGCGATATATAAGCTAAAATTTAGCGTCTTTAAGCTAAACTTTCCTACACCAAAATATTATTATCTACTATAGAATAAAGGATATCTTTAATAAAAGCTTTAAAGAAGCGTAAAAGGATAAGTAAAATAGATTCTACTAAGAAACTATATACTATATAGGAATTTTTAGGTACTTAGGAATTAGTACGCTTAAAGGTAGAGGAAGAGCGTAAAAGAGCTAAAAGGAGAGCTAAAAAGACAAAGAAATAAAAGTCTAGATTCACCGCTATATAATACATTTAATTTTATAATTATATCTTATGTTTTAGTTATTTAATTATAAAGTAAAGCAGTTTAGATTATTTAATTTAGGGTGCTAGTTACTATGCCTACTAAGATCCTATCTCCTTACGTTATATCTTTTTATCTACTAAGAATATACCTAACTTTACTAGATAATTACTCTAGTATTTAGCTCCTAAATAATAAAGATTTTAATAGCTATATATTCTTCTCGTTTAGCTCTACATAGTAGTATTAGATTTAATATAATTTAAGTAATATTTATAATTCTAATCTACCTCTAGAAACACTATAATCTTTTAGCTAAAATAGCTCTAAGACGAGTAAATTAAACTTAAAATAAATAAGTATATATATTATAATATTAGGTATTATTACCTAATCCTAATCCTATTATAAAGAAGCAATAGTAATGCTATTATTATACTTATTCTCTTTAAGAATATCTTAAACAATAAGAAGAATATTTTTATAAAGAGAGATAAATTTTAGCTATTTCTATTATAGCTCCTATTATTAGTTAATCTTTTATAGCAATTTTATATACTTAGTAGTAAATTAAATAGGATTAATAATATATAAAGAGAGTAATTTAAGAAGCTCTACTACTTAATACGTATAATAAAATATTATATTTAATAACTTACGCGTATAAAATTAAATATATAAATTTAGTAGGTATTCTTACTTATTTACCTCTATAGAGAGGGTAAATGCTAGCTCTTATTAAAGAGCTCTATAATAAAGATCTACTAAAGCTAAAAAGTATACTTAGGAATTAATCTCTTCTTAACTTCTCTCTAGACAAAACTATAAATAAAGTAGGTTACTAAATAGCTAATTTCTATATTATTATACTATTACTTAGTTCCTTCTTTCTTAAAAATATTAATTTAGGTAGAGAATATATAATATCTTTAAATCTAGCTTTATATCTTTTAGAAGCTTTTAATTAATAAATAGAGTATTAGGGGTTAAACTCCTTAAAGCTATGCCCGTTTGGGCTACCTCTATTATATATAAACACCTTAATTAAAGAGTCTCTTAACTTTTCTTTCTCTCTAAGTTACCTTCCTATTTAGTAAGCTTATAATATAACTTATCTTTTCGTTATCTAACCTATAATATTAGGTAACTTTAAAACTAACTTCTCTTTTTTACTTACTTTCTCTCTATCTATTAATAAATAGCTAAAATAGTAAACTAAGATTTCTCTCGCCTAATAACTACTAAATAGGATAAAGAAATATTTTCTAAGAGCTTTATTTATAAGAACGTAGAAGCGTACTTTATGTATATTAATTAATAATAAATAAAGCTATAGAGATACTTAAACGTATTTTAAGAGGTAACTAATAATAGCTTATAATAAGTAATAAATAGTATTTTACTACTTAGTAATATGCTAGGTTTATTTATCTTATAGTTATATATAGCTACTACTAGTTATAGATAAGCTCTTAAGTAGCTAAATACCTTAAATAATAAAATTTATATATAATTAAATAAGAATACGTAATAAATTATAATAGTCTATACTAAACTCTAAGCTTAAATTAATAGCTAGAATAAATAACTTACTAATATCTATACTAGTAGTAAAATCCTTATATAGTAAGTAAATAATACTACTTATAATATATTATCTTAATAGTAATAATAAAAATAAGAATAACTTTAGAGGGAATCTATAATACTTAGCATAACTCTTTCTTTAATACTAGCTATATTCTTTACTAAAGAGACCTTTAATTATAGCTATTATCCTTCTTTAATTCTAAGAGCTAATCTTTTTTAAATTTTAATTATAATAGCTAGATTAATAAGTCCTTCTCTACCTTCTTTAATAAATCTTTTAGCTACTTAGTATAAGCTACTTTAACTATTATTATAAAACTTTTAACTAGCTTTCTTAAATCTAGAATAATATTCTTATAAAAATCTAATTCTCTATCCTAGCTTTTACTAAATAATTAAAGTAAAATTATATATTAATAGATAGATTTATATAAATAACTATACCTAAATCTATTATATATTTAGCTAGCTAATTAGAGACGCTATTTAATAAGTTTTCTCTTAGATTTAGAATCCTACTAGCTATAGTATTATAAGTTTTAGTAAGTTTATAGAATAAATAGACCTTCTCTTTTATAATCTATATAAAGAAATAAGAGCTTTAGTAAACCTTTAAAGGATTTAGTAAAGAAGTAGAGAATAGAGAATCTTTTAAGCTAAGTTTTAGTAGTATTTTATCTATACTAGAGTATAATTTTAGGCTACTTTTATCTAGATATAGTTCTTAGAAAATACTATAGATTTAAGCCTTAAAATAGCTCTAATTATTTACTTTTAGCTTAATAACTTAGATACTTTTACCTAAAAAGCTTTAGAGACCTAGAATTAAATAGTTTAAGCCTATATAAGCTATTATAGCCTAAGAGGCCTAAGTACTAAAATAAATACTTAGTAGACTTAGCTATTTAGGAATTAGGACCTAGATATAATAGAAAATATTTAGATTAGAGCTAGCTAAGCCTAGTATAACT